AGTTGTTGACTTTAAGAGGGAGATGCAATGACATTGTATTGATCCAGAATTGCTTCTTGAACAATGTCAGGAATAGAAATCTGATCATGATAATTGTCAATGGCAATTAGAGGAATTTCAGCATATTCCTCCTCAAAGACAAAGTCTATAACCCTTTATCCCTTCGCAAACTCAACATCCACAAAGAACCGTGCATTTTCTGTCTCGAAAATTGCCTTAGTTGTGGGATCATAAAACTTGTAACCCCTGGACCTTTCAGAATATCCAATAAAATAACAACTGATAGTCCTTGCGTCCAGTTTCTTTTCATTTGGCCTATAGGGCCTTACATCAACTGGACATCCACAAATGTGTAAGTGCCTCAAACTAGGCATATTACCCATTTAAAGCTCATAAGGGGTTTTATCAGTAGCCTTAGTTGGAACTTTGTAGAGTATATATGCTGCGGTCTTTAATGCTTCACCCCAGAGTGATTCTGGCAAGGTAGAATGAGTAATCATACTTCTCACCATGTCCTTAAGCATTCTATTTCGTCTTTCAGCAACACCATTCATAGTGGGCGAACTCAACATAGTGTACTGTGGGACGATACCGCATTCCTCTAGGAATTTAGCAAATGGTCTGGACGTTGTTCACCTGAACCATCATATCTGTCATAGTATTCAACACCACGGTCAGATCTGACACTTTTAATCCTTTTGTTGAGTTGGTTTTCAACTTCAAATTTATAGTTTTTGAACACATCCAGTGACTGTGATTTATCATGAATGAGATATATATAGTCTTATCTTGAAAAGTCGTCTATGAACGTTATAAAGTATTGTTGACCATTCCAAGAAGTCGTAGGGAATGGTCCACAAATGTCCGTATGTATAAGTCTAAGACGTCCAAAGTTCCGTTGGCTTGAAATCTCCTTTTATTGGTTTATTTTCCCTTTATACAGTTAATAAATATATCATAATCTGTGAAGTCAAGAGATCGAGAATTCCGTTAGAGACAAGTTCAATTCTCTTATTGGAGATGTAACATAATCTCTTATGCCACAACAAAGTAGAATTCTTGCCGGTTAATTTTTTTTACACCTCGAGTACTTATATGCAAGAATTCATTAAAAAAAGCAATCGTATCAATTAAATAAAGATTATCGTAACTGATAAAGAATTGGAACAAACCAATTTTAAATCATAAAACAAACTAAAAATTTCATTCCCTAATTAACAAGAATAATCAGATTTATCCAAAGCAGAAATTGAAATCAAATTTCGTCTAAAAGATGGTACAATAAAGGTTTCATTAAGATCCAAATAAAATCTAGTTTTTAAAAATAATCTAAACTTTCTTATTGTCTCTACTTCCACCGTATTGCTTTAGCCAACATAGATGTATCTTTCATCATCACTTGATTTTCGATAACTCAAGCAACCTTGCATAAATACACTGATGTGAGATGTTGCACTAAAATCTATTCACTATGAGTGTCTAGGTACCGAAGTTAAATTAACCTAAAAACAAATCAAATGAAAAAGAATACATTTCTTTGCACGCCATGCGTGATAGTTGGTACAGTTTTTCTTACAACTTGTAGCTTCACAGAAGAAACAACTACCATCAGTTTGTTCTTTTTGTTGTTTATTTTGTGATGCTGTACCTGCAACTTCCCTATTAATTTTCCTTTTTTTTTTATTCCTTTTGTCCTTGGAAGTGATAGCTAAATGAGTACTTTCTATCTTATCATGTTTCAATATTTCCTCTTCTTGGACACAGTATGAGATGAGCTCATTAAGGGACCATAGTCTTTTTGACAATTGTATCTCACCTTGAATTGACCAAAGCGTGCCAAAAGGGATATAAGAACCAAGTGCACCAACAAGTTTTCAGATAAATCCAACTTGAGTGTCTTTAGTTTTGAAACAATGCGAGACATTTCCAAGATGTACTCCCATTTGTTTCATTTCCCTTTATACCTCATTGAGGTAAATTTGCCAAAAATGTATTAGTCTCAACCTTTTCATTCTTAGCAAACATCTTCTCCAAGGTCCTCAAGGAAATCCTTAGTCGTAGTCACCTTACCAGACATAGTGCCCCGAAACGCTTATGGGATAGTACGCTTTATGACCATCAAACTTAAGCGGTTTGATCATTCCCACTTTTCTATCTCCCTCTTATTATCAGAAGTACTCTTATAAGTAAGTGCAGCAGGTTGATCGACCCGTAAAGCAACGTCCAAATCCATGACTCCGAAAGCAATCATCATGTTCTCTTGTCATGCCTTGAAGTT